TCAACCAGAGCCTCAAGAGGAGGCCCTGGAGGTGGAGGCGGAGGGGCTGCAGCCTGACACACTTGAGGGTCATGTGTGCCAGGCTCTCCCTTTGCCCGCAGGAGGGGTAGGAGACTGGGGTGTCCGTGAAGCTCACAACATACACCAGCTGAGGTCCCCAGTGAGGCTGCCAGCTGAGATCCCCAGTGGCTTGTGGGATGAGGGTGGAATATAGACTCAGCCACTGGGGTGCCCCAGCCGTGCCCCAGCCATGCCCTCGCTGAACAGGTCCTGCCACTAGGTGTCTGGATGGGATGCGAGGGTGGCATGATGGACAGTGGAAAAGCGGACCAGTCTGGTGTCCTCCAGCTGGCTCAGGTGATGAAGTTGGGAGCACCATAAGGCCAGACACAGTCCACCTGAAGCCCTGGGCTGGGAGGGAGTGAGCACCTGTGAATTTAACTGAGGAGTCATTAGGCTGCTTGCTGTTTTCCTCTTAGGCTATGGGTACTAGTCCCCCTTGCCCCTCCCTCCCTCTTGCCTGCCCTGCTGCCTTTTGATTCCTGCTGGGGCACCTTCCCTTCCTCATTTCTCTGCCAGACTGCATCTGCCCCTATTAAAAGATAACTGATAAGCTAACCAGTTATCACTGCACTTAATGGTTAAACAATTACCTATTTAACCTTTCACACCCCATACTGGTCTTTACATGCAGAAAAACAAAAGTCTGAAATTATAATGTTTTGCTTTGTATTTGGGAACATCCTACAAAAAATGCATCCCTGTAAAATTATTTGATTGACATACTGCTTAGACAGTGCGCCTGTAAGCTTTAAAGTGAATCTGTTAGAGAAGAGCATGGATATTGTACACATGTAAGTCACTTCAAAATCATGCTATATTACATATAGTAGGTTCAAACCTGGCTCATGTCCTCCTGACATTTTGCTCTGAGAGCGCTCTAATTAAAGCACCACAGTGTCTTGTGTATCAACATCCCTGCGCTTCAAAATGGCAGCAGGGGTGCTTGAACTAAAGCACATTCAGCAAGCTTTAGTTCAAGTTCCCCCACTTCCATTTTCAAGCATGGGGACGCTAATACATGAGATGTGGGAGGCTGCCGGAGTGTGGTAACTTAGCACACTCCAGCAGACTCAGTTAATCAAGTCTGCTCCAATGTGCTGTAATTACAGCGCATCAGACCAGCCTCCACACTCATGTACAGGCACCCACTAAAAGTAACTGCACCCTGACAGCATAGAAAGGCTATTTCCCATCCTTCCCTGGAAAACCACTGTTTCAGTTACCATACCTTTTCAAAAGGGAGAGAAGGGATTAGATCTACTGAAGCAGGTTTGTTCCCTAGATTAGAAATGCCCCAGATTGGAAGTCCTTTTGGAAAGGAGCAAAGGGCATCTGTTCACACCATGCCCTATGCAGTGTTGGCTCTACTTTGCTGCTGTTAACCCACTGCACTGTTTCTGGATTTACCTGACCGTCCTTCCTTGAAAACAATGGCCAGTGCTACAGCTGGAGATGGAGTTTGCCAACTATTCTGTTTCTGTTTGATAGGAAAAAGAAAATGATTTTCAGAAGCTAAAGAATCAAGGTAGGTGAAACTTAAATATTTCTCTAAAATAAAGAGAGAAGATAAATTTGACATTATTAGATGGTGAAGTAATTCTGAAGTGCAGAAGTTAATGGATGACTGCATGCGATGTTCGGTGCACTGTCTTTGAACACAATGAGTTAGTGCTCCTACGGCGTTGCCTTAGCTATGGCCTCAGCCTGTCTCCAAAGAGTTAACTAAGGATCTGCAAGGGAGAATTGACCACTGGCATACTGACTATTGCTAACATTGGGTTGACATCGCCTGGGCAGGCAGATTGCCGTACCAAACTAGATTGGCTTGAGTTGAGGGCAGACTGGGCTGGAATCACCTGTCATTTCATTTAGAAAGTGTTCACTGGTATTTTAATTGGGTACTGTTTGCAAACAGTGTGTTGCAAGAATGAAAATAACAATGCGCCCAGAAAGCATGCAGATTTTCTGCTGTGTAAAGGACTGCTGTCTTTTTTTAATGCTGCCATTATGAAAACTGCTTTCAGACACTGAGGAAAATACAGTTTCAATTAGTCTGCTATTAGGATCTGAAGAAGCAGCATTTCCCCAAAACTATTATGAAGTAATGATTGTTGGGTTTACTGGCTTCCATTTTTCAGGTGATCAGCTAAACAAAGCCACCTTATCTGCAGCAACAGAAATTTCAGATGATCATTCCTCGGTTACAAATTATTTAGATAAGTAAGTAGAATTAGCAGCTTCCTAAATACTTCCATACAGAGCAGTTGGTTATTAATCATACTGACATCTATTGGCCATCAGTTAAATAAAAATAAGGCTGATTGGGATTTAAACAATAAGGAGGTGGGAATTATCAGTAAGTAAAATTGCATATCCTTCCTTACAGTTGATACAGTGTGAATTTGTGAACGTGTTTTGAGATGCTTAGATTAAGAAATTGTCACGGTGTAATGGCCTGCCACTGCCACAGAAAGAACAGGCAAAGCAAAGACTGTAGGACCAACTTCTTCAATATGTTGTAGTATAAATGCAGGATGAAAATATTAAATGTTCAGTGAGCAAATAAGCCATTCAAGATTTCTCTGCTGTGTATTTGTCTCTTTGGCAGATGTTTTTAGTTAACACTTGTAAAGCTATTACAATTCTGCCTTAAGTCCCTCCCTAAAGCAGATATTCTGTGTGGGAAAGGGTTTATATCAAAAACTGTTTAGCAGAATGGCTTTAAACTGGAAGAGTCATCTATTTTGATTAGCTCTTGATTTAATCCATGACATTTGTTGTTCTTGCCCTGTCTTTTCTAGTCTGTGCATTTTCTGTGGTGAAAGGAATGAATCCTTCACAGAGGAGGGCTTGGATCTCCATTACTGGAAGCGTTGCCCAATGTTAACAAGATGTGAACACTGCAAGCAGGTCAGGCACTATGCTGGAAGGTCTGTGCCAGTATACATAACACACAATTTCTGGAGACCAATTAAGTGCAGGCAGCTTCAGCATCAGTTTTGCCTGGTTCTCATTTGAAAAGGCTCCCACTGGTGACCATATTATGCCTTGTTGGTCCCATAAAATGGAATACAGCAAAACTGAGGTCTGTGTGGATATGCCATTTAGCCAGGAAGTGGGACCATCAGCTTACTTAAAGTCTGAGTTACACAGCCTCTGGGCCACAAATGGCATCCGTAGAATTTAAACCCATTTCTTGGATGTACTTGGCTCAGCAGCTCTCTGTGTGTGGAGTGGTTTGGTTATAGATGTTTAGTTGCTTTACTCCCGTGCACTAATACAGGCTTGGGACCAACTGGCTAAGCAGCAGCTCTGCAGAAAACGAGCTAGGGGTCACAGTGGACAATAAGCTGGATATGAGCCAACAGTGTGTCTTTGATGCCAAGAAGGCTAACAACATACTGGGTGCATTAGTGCCAGCAAGTTGAGGTGAGGCCACATCGGGAGTGGTGTGTCCAGTTTTGGGCCTCCTGCTACAAAAAGGATGTGGACAAGTTGGAAAGAGTCCAGCAGAGGGCAATGAAAATGGTTTGGGGGCTGGGGCACGTGACTGGTGAGGAAAGGCTGAAGGAAATGGGCTTGCTTAGTTTGCCAAAGAGAAGGCTGAGATGGGGTTTGATAGCAACCTTTAACCACCTGAAGGGTGTTTCTAAAGAGGATGGAACTAAGCTGTTTTCAGTGGTGGCAGATGACAGAACAAGGAGCACACCAGTCTCAAGTTGCAGCAAGGGAAGTTTAGGTTGGATATCAGGAAAAATTTTCACTAGGAGGGTGATAAAGCACTGGAACAAGTTTCCTAGAGAGGAGGTGGAATCTCCATCCTTGGAGGCTTTTAAGGCCCAGCTTGACAAAGCCCTGGCTGGAATGATCTAGTTGGGGATGGTCCTGCTTTGAGCAGGCGGTTGGACTATATGTGACCTCCTGGGTTCTTGGCCTCCTTCAGGCCAAGGAAGATTGAAACCATATCTTCCATTCCCAGAAAAGTGTCCGAGCTATCAGGCTGTGGGCTGGCTAGCCCAAGCGTAACTTTCACTTCCACTGTTGGAAATAGCCAGCTGGGCAGCCAGAATTACAAGATTCATGGAGCCAAAAGAAGAGCAAGCAAGAGGCAGCCTGTAGTTCAGTACATGGAGGGCGGGAGGGAGTCACCCCTGGAACTTCTGCTGTATTTTGCACCAAATGCATCAAAAGCATTAGTCTCTCTTCTGTTGTCTAGTATGTCAGTTGCCCACCCACCAATTGCTCACTCAGTTTAGGACCATCAGCTACCTAAAGTGTAGTTTACACAGCCTTTGGGCCACAGATATAGTTGGCTCAGCAGCTGGCGGTGGGTGTGGGGTGGTTTGGTATGGATATTTAGTTGCTTTACTCAACCATTCACAGCTAAGCTGATTTCAGGTGGCAGGTTTTATACTGCTAACTACTCTGTGCAAAGGTTGTCTCAGGAGCAGATGTTCCTGCTTTGCCCCAGTGGCCCAGGCTGTGAATAATTTCTAGTGATTGTAGTTTAAAGGTAACCTTAAAGTTACTTGAAGCATGGGAATAAGTTTTAAGTTTCCTTTTTTTAATAATTTTTTTATCACCTTAAAATTGGTAAGATGTAATTTTTAAATGCCTGTTTGTCAGGAGCCCTTGAACTGAAGTGACTGTTTATATATATTAAAAAAAAAAAAAAAAAAAAGAAGAACCTAAGCTCTAAAATCACTTCAGTTTTTTTGCAAGTCTTACCTTTAGGTAATATATCACAACACAAGCCCATTTGTGACCACCATATATGTGCTTCACCTGTTGCAGGTGGTGGAAATAGCTAGTCTGACAGAGCACCTGCTGACTGAGTGTGATAAAAAAGAAGGCTTTGGGAAATGTCAGCGCTGCAGTGAGGCCCTTCCAAAGGAGGAGCTGCCTAAACATATCAAGGGCAAGGCTTGCAATCGTGAGTAGCTTTAAGTAGAACAGGACAGTTGATGAGAACCACGATACTTAGCACCTTTGGAAAGCCTGGGCATTCTCTTAAGGTGCCATACTATGGATGGATTCCTACCTTGAGGCTAAGGATTGAACACTCTTTTTTCCCCATTACTCCCTGCACTTTCTGCATTACTCTCTCTCTTCTATTAATACATATGTTTCATGTGGCTAAAGAAAGCAGAAACCATCAGAGTGTTACATAGTTTAAATAGCCCTAATTACTGTTGGCTCAGCTGTGGTCATATCTATATCAGCTACCACCTCTCCTCTTCCCATCCTGTTTCTGCTGAATAAAGATGTGTAAACCCAGAGCTGCCTTCTGAACAGCCTCTTGTTCGGTCTGTGGAAGGTAGGATAGTAGCTGGCTTCATCTCTTCTTCAAGGCAGTCAGCAGGGATTAGTTTCTGTTCCATGTTGCCCAGGCCCTTCTCTGCTATTTGCTGCTGATTGATGATAGTGTAATTTACCCTTTTGGTAACTTCTCTTTCCAATAATTTTCAGCTGCCAAACCAGAAAAAGTGGCAAACCATTGTCCATTGTGCCATGAGAACTTCACCCCAGGAGAGGAGGTAGGAGAAACTGTCAAACTGGTTTCATTAGTCCTGCTGTGAGACTGAATTATCTTGTTCTTTACAATGCTGAAATACTTAGTTTACCTGAATATACTCACACTGGAAAGTACCTAGGTTCTCCTCAGGTATCTGACTGTAGTATGATGATAGCACAGACTGCTGATTTTAGGTGGTCTTGAATCTGGGTCTCCTCTTAGCCACTGGTTCTTGGCAGTTTCCTCAAATCATTGAAAGGCCTGTTTCATTCTGTTAGAATTCAGAACCTCTAGAATCTCCAGATCATCATGACAGAAGGGGTCAAAGCTGATGCCTTTTTAAAAAAAATATGTTTAGAAAAAAATTCCCAGTGATATGTCATCCAGAAACTCCTAATAGGCTAGGAGAGTTCTCAGCAGCCATGCACTTGAAGCTTTCCAAATAACCGAAATATTACAAGACTCTCTGTTTGTTGAGTTGTCAGTTACAGCATTCCTTAGCGGCCATGTGCTGCCCAAAATATTTGCAAGAAGACTAGTCATGTCTAGAAGAATGTTTAGGACACTTGGGAAAACAATTTTGGTAACTTTTGCTTCTGGTGTGAGGAAAACCTACTCCAGAAGTGGGAAGCCAGCTCTGATTAGCAAAAGAGTCTTTGGGAAGCTAAGTAGAGCCTCACCTGCTGTTTGCTGCAAGTAACTGCCAAGGTTGAAATAATGCACTTCCAGTGATTTTGTTTTTTCCTTTGGATGGAAGTACAGCAGATGCTTGTTATGTACAAGCATAATCATATCAAAGTATTTATCACATTTGCTGATGAACAGCTGTATTCCTCATAGATTGTCTGACCTTTATAATATATAATTGTTTCTGTAGCATAACTCCTCTTTCTGACCCAAGTTGACAAACGGTGAATATAGATTCACTGTTTAATTAATTAATTAATCACTATTAATTCACTGTCCCTGCCTGAGGTAGGAGCCAGCACCACTTCCCTTGGAAGTTGGTTCCAGATCCTAGCCGCCCTGACTGTGCAGTAGTGCCTCCTGATATCTAACCTGAACCTACTCTCAAACAGCTTATGGCTGTTATTCCTTGTTACTCCGGGAGGTGCTCAGGGGAACAGGGTCTCTCCCATTCCCTGCTGGTCTTCCCTGGTAAGCTTGTAAACAGCCACCAGGTTCCCTCTCAGCCTTCTCTTGTGAAGGCTGAACAGGTTCAGGTCCCATACCCTCTCCCCATAGGGTCTGCCCTGCTGTCCCCAGATCGTGCGAGTGGCCCTCCTCTGGACCCTCTCAATGCTGTCCACATCCCTCCTAGAACTGGACACAGTACTCCAACTGTGGCCTGACCAGTGTTGCATAGAGGGAGAGGATCTACCTCCTTGGACCTGCTCACGATGCATCTGTGGATGCGCAACAAGGTGCGGTTGGCCCTACTGACCATGTCCTCGCATTGGCAGCCCATGTTCATTTCGGAATCAATAATGACTCCAAGATCTCTTTCTGCCACTGTGCTTTTGAAAAGGGAGTTCCCCAGCCTGTAGGTATGCTGCTGGTTCTTACTGCCCAAGTGTAGTACCCTGCACTTGTCAGTATTGAATCCTATCTTATTCTCATTCACCCACCCCTATAACCTGTCCAGGTTCAGCTGTATCCTGTCCCTCCCTTCTAGCATGCCCACCTCACCCCAAATCTTGGTGTCATCAGCAAATTTGAACAGGGTACTTTTCACCCCCTCGTCCAAGCCACTAATAAAGACCTCTAACAGTACGGGCCCAAGGACCAAGCCGTGGGGGACTCCACTGCCCACATCCCTCCAGGTCGAATATGACCTGTCCACCACCACTCTCTGGGTGCAGCCCATCAGCCAATTTGTGACCCATTTGACTGTGTAGGCATCAATGCCACAGTTGCTTAGCTTTTTAATGAGAATGGGGTGGGAGACAGTGTCAAAGGCCTTCCTAAGGTCCAGAAAAACTACGTCCACCGCAACACCTGCATCCGATGATTTTGTGACCTGATCGTAGAAGGCAATCAGGTTGGTCTGACAGGACCTGCCTCTAATGAAGCCATGCTGGTTGCCTCTGAGCATCATCCCCCCCTGCTGGTCCTTCCCAGATGTACTCCTGGATAATCATCTCAAAAAGCTTCCCCAGGATCAAAAGTAAGATTAACAGGCCTATAGTTGCCCAGGTCCTCCCTCCTCCCTTTTTTGAAAATGGGGACCACATTGGCGTTCTTCCAGTCATCTGGCACCTGACCAGAGCACCACGAGTGCTCGTAAAGCCGTGCCAGGGGCCCCTCGATAACCCCTGCCAAATCCCTCAGCACCCTGGGGTGGAGAGTGTCTGGACCTGCTGACTTGAATACGCTAGGCCTGGTGGAGTCTCTCCTGAGTCTGTCCTGAATCCCAGTGGGGGAGATGTCCCAGTCTCTGCACAAAAAAATGGAGGCAAAGAAATTGTTAAAAAGGTCTGCTTTTTCCTCTGGTGCAGCCACCAGATTACCAAGCATATCCTGCAGGGGCCCCACGTTACCTGGTGCCGCCTTCATACTCCCTATGTATTTAAAAAAGGACTTTTTGTTGTCCTTGACCCTTGATGCTAGCCCTAATTCTGTATCTGTCTTAGCTTTCCTAACAACCCCCCTACAGACCCAAGCGATGGAGGTATATTCCTCTTTGGTGATAGCCCCTCCCTTCCACTGGGTGTACACCTCCTTTTTGGCTTTCAGGCATTCCTGAATGCATTTGAGCCAGGGGGGCTTTTGAGCACTCCTTGTGCCCTTTGATTCTCGTTGGGACTGTCACCCCTTGGGCTCGGAGGATCATCTCCTTAAGGAACGACCACTCGTCTTTGACACCCCAGTGCCTCCTACCAATCTCCTCAACTCATTGAAGTTGGCCCTCCTGAAGTCAAGGGCTACTGCTTTGCTGCAGGCCCTTGGCACCCTGCACTGGATGGTGAATTCCAGTAGGCGATGATTGCTGTCACCCAGGTGGTCAAGAACCTGGAGTCCCCTCACCAGGTCATCATTGCCTGTGGCCAGGGCCAGGACCAGGTCCAGAGTGGTTGCATTGATTTGATGGAGAAGCTGGCTCATTCTCCCTGGTGGAACTGTGCACCTCCTGGGTTAAGTGGAAGTCCTGTATCTCAGCGAGGAACCTTCATGAGCGGTCCAACCTGGCTGACTGGTTCTCCCAGCAGATGTCCGGGTAATTTAGATCACCCATGATGACTACATAGGCCTTAAGTGCCTCCGCAAGCTGACTTGAGAATTCGTGGTCCAGCTCTTCCCCTTGGTTGGGTGGTCTGTAGTAGACCTCCACCATTAAGTCCCTTTAGAGTAATTACCTAGCTGGGGTCATATGAGCCCAGTATTCTCTCCTGCCCAGGGCAGGGGGTCAGACTTGAAGATCTACTTGGGTCCCTTCCGACCCTACATCTATGAATTTAGTTCACCTTGGTTATCAAAAGAATAATCCAAAATCAACTTCCTTTGGGAAACAGGATTGAAAAAAGAAAGTTATGGCCCGTTTCCACTGTGAAAATAGCTCCGTTTGCTGTTTCATAGTTTCTAGGGTCGGAAGGGACCTGAGAAGATCATCTAGTCCGACCCCCTGCCATGGCAGGAAAGAGTACTGGGGTCAAACGACCCCAGCAAGGTGTTCATCTAACCAACAGTTAAACAGTTGCTTTCCATAAACAAGCCACAAAGTATTCACTTGCCTTTTTACTTCTGCTTAGCAAATATTCCCAAGAAATTGTTATCACGTGGTATCTAATTTAGTGACACACTTTGGTTCTTTCTAATTAATGTAACTTGTACTCAGCCTGGATCACTGAGTACTTTGGAGTTCTATTCTAGTTGTGTAGCTATGTCCTGATTTTTTTTTTTTTTTTCTTTTTTCTTTCTTCCCTTTATTTTAAAATGTCTATGGATGGAATGGGTTTTTCTGCTTTGATCCTGTATTGTTTCTTTTCTGCTTTGAACTTTAATTGCTTATTAAAGTAACATAAGCTCCCTGCCTTTTTACCTTTTGGGTTTTGTAATATTGACATTGGTACCATTTTGATAGATATTATTACTATCTGGTTGCAACAGAATAAAATTACTCTTTTCTATTCCAAGCATCAAGTCACCTCACTTTTGAAATGGGTCATGAGTCATTCCTAAAATTTGCTTTAGCAAGAAAATGTCAACAACTTTGTCCTTCATTTCCTCAACAAACTTTAAAATCTTTTACTTCCTCCTAGTTTTGCTGTAAAAGCTGTCTGGTGTGGTATGAAAGACCTGCCACTTTTTTCTGTTTTTAATTCTGCTTAATTGATCTTAGGCTTGGAAATCTCACCTAATGGGCAAAGATGGCTGTAAAATGAATCTGCGGAGGGTGCACACTACAAACAAAACCCTACTGATGCAGCCTGGTACAGTATTTCCTTGGCATTGTTTTATGGTCTTTAATTTATTCAGTTTCTTTAAATGGAAGGTTCCATTCTGGATATCAGGATGATTCCTTACTACGTGCTGTTAGATACAAAAATCAAATATGGAAACATTTTAAAAATGTATTTCTAAATATGTTAGTAAAAACTAATACATATCGCAGCAGGCAACTTCTGCTCCCTGCTTACACCACTTAAGTCCCACGTACCCAAGAGCGGATCCATTGATTTGATGGAAAGAAGCTGGCTCACTTCACTTAATCTTGTCCTAAATAGCAGTATGCTCCTGAAGATGCATTATGCTGTAACTGTCCCACCCAGGGAGTGCTAGGAGCTTAACAAGTACAGCACAGGCAAAATTTGAACAAACTCCTGAACACTAACCTGCCAGTGTACCTCAGCTCTATTTAAACCATTTTAGTGAATAGTTAGAGGTTGCCAGTCTAATCCTAATAATGGGATAGACTGAATAGATAAGCTTTTATATTATTTATCCCTTTTGACTTTGACCTAAGCTGTCAAAATGTAAAGGTTTGTAATTGGGAGGAGAAATTGGAGACTAAGTCCTGTTTTTTCAGAATGCAGAATCTGACTGCTTTTTGCTTGTAATACAAAGGCTTTTTTTTTTTTTTAGCCAGTACTCCTCAGTGCTCCCTCCAAACTTCTTGGGAGGGTCACCCTGCTAGCAGCATGTTCAGACTTTGTTGGTCTGTACTTCTGTATGGGCTCCCCTTCTTATCTACATGTACCATCACATTCTGAGTAGCACGTCTTGGTGAAACAGAGTTAAACTGTCTCTAAGAGGTACCATAAGAAAAGACAGCTAAACTCAGTGTTTCTAAGCAATGTTGGCCTGAACTACAGCAACAATAATTTGGTTCTTAGCATTCCCGATTACACCAGTGACACGGGTTCTTCACTTAGTGTGATAGTGGCTAGCTTTCTGCCTTATGGAAAATAGGAACTGAGACACTAGGCCAGGGGTTGTCAGCTGGGGGTATGCATGCCCCTGGGGGTACTTTGAAAGGTCCCAGCAGGTATGTGGGGGCGGGCAGGAATGAAGTGCCACCACCCTGTGCCGCTACCTCACAGGAGCAGAGCTGGAGCAGGGCAGGACAAGACACTGTGCTGCTGCTGCTTACCCCCCTCTCTGGTACACTCATTAAAAAGGGGGCTGCCAGGGGTACACTTACTAAAAAAGGTTGAAAACCCCTGCACTAATCTAATAAGTAGGTAGGAAGTGAACTCTGACCAGACTTATGACATGTGTAGTAGGTCCCCACTATTGGTATGGTTAGGTTTTAACAGTGGTAAGTCATTACATTAGATTCATAGTAAAAAATCATCTCCTGTTAGGAATCCCTATAATACCTCCATCACTTCAGTGCAATGTTTTTTGTCAACCTTGGAGGTGAACCATATATCTAAACTTCAAGGCTTGAACTTGATGTGTGCATGCCTGTGTTCTTTTTGCAGGCAAAGCAGGAGGATTAGCTGTCAGCAAGCCAGTCCCTACAGGAGCAAAGCTGCGATCCCCCACCATAGGAAGTAAGATCCCAACCCCAAGAGGGGGCATAAATAAAAGCACTAGCAGAACATATGCAAAGCGATGACATGAAAAGTACTTGTTTCCTTCATAACTGAGCAAGTTTTTTTGCGATGCACATCTGTGAGCTTTGATTAGAAAGGGATGGGAACCTCAAACTGCACATTTCACCTGAACTCCCCTCTGCTGTCTGTTAGTCATGACTACTGCTTGCCCACTTTGGTTTCCCAGTGTTGTAGGCTCTTGGGGCAGTTATGCACATCTTACTGCTTAGTGACTTGCAGACTATGATAGAGGTCTTCTGGCCTGGGGTATTCCTTTGTCCTTCCCCAATGGCAAGAAGAATAGAAATTGGCTGCAGAATCTCTTCTTGCAGCTTTCCTAGCAGAGGGGAGTCCCCAGTAAGTAAAGAGCTAGCTGAGCCAAATACAATGCTACCCTCTGCAGCAGCCAACAGAGGTTGGGGCAAAATGGCCCAACAAGTTGTGGCTGTTCCCCTATTTAATGGGATGACAGTTGTCTTGTGTTCACTTAAGTAGCCTGTTGGCTGGGGCTGAAAGGAACAGGCACTGACATCAGGAAGCCAAAACCTTTAGTTCTGTTTGCTATCCAGAGGCCAAAGGAGGCCAATCTGGCTCAATTGTGCCAGGCTTTCAGAAGGAAGCTTTAAGATGTTTGTTCTTTTGGGCCCAATCTCATATCTGCTCACAAAAGTTATAGGAATATAATCACCTGACTTAATCAGTGAAAACTGGCAACTGCAAAATTAGCTCATAATTGTTCTCTGCCCATATTTGCTTATTTGTGTGACTGACTCCAAGTAATAGTCACTAGTACTTCTTTATAATCAGAGACACCTTGATACAAGAATAGGACTATAATAAGATACAGGATGATAGTACAAAATGTCTCTAGTATATATTTATGCACTATTCCAAAAGTCCACACTGATAGTGAAACTATCACATTTAGACATGGGAACAATTTGGTGAGAAATAGTGAACAGACTAGCTATGCTGTTCTCATTATAGCTTTCATGCAATTATCTTTGTCACAGCAATATCACAACTCTGGGTCTAATGTACAATTAACAACAAATATGTAGACAGTAAATCAAGAGCAAAAATAATCCTTTATTATGGAGATGGAGGATTTCAATATGGTTACTGATTTGTAGCCGTGGAATGATGGTGTAATTAAACATGGGTTCTTCCTAGGAATTTTACCTGCAATGCTAGTCTTTTTGCTTGCTTTTTTTTCCTATTTTGATCCATGTGTTCAGTCTAATAAATATGTCATAAGAGCTACTTCCTCTAAGATAAAACCACCTATATATTTTAGGAGTACACCTCTGTATATAGCATACATATTAGACATTTAGATCAAGTACTTAGGCATAAATTACTCTATCAAGTAAGATCATGTAAAAAGCAGGTTGTAAGCAGTTTGAAAAATGACAAGATTATATTTAAATAGATGCAGACTCATCCAAACCAATAAATACCCCTGAAGTGATCAGCTTGTGAAAAGGCAGATTCAGAGCTAACAGGACTCTTTTTCAAATCCCACACTATATCCAATCTGTAGTTTCTCTTCTTGCAGCAAATGTCCAGTTACCCACTCTGATGCTGCAAAGAAAAGCATTATGCCATTCTCTGGAGACTTTATTTCACTATAAGTTCAACTGCGGGAGGCATAATTCCACAGCTGGTGGGTAGCAGCCTGAAGTGTTACCCCTTTTTTTATTTTTTAACTTTCAACACAACACTCTGCACTTCTATGTCACCTTACAGCTAAAGAGTTGAATAAATTCTTGCTCAAGCGTGCTCAGCAGTGGCTGGGAATAGGAAAGGTTCCTTTGCATAGAGCTTTATGAAATTGTTCAATTAAACTTACCGGTACAGGCCCTGTCTGTTAGGGGAAATACTTGATCCAAAAATGGACAAGGGTTATGTGATGAAAAGATTGATCAGCTTTTTTAATAATTAAATTAGTATGGAAGTACAGTAAAATGGTCATATGTTCTATCCTCTTTGTGGGCAAGTAGCTTTCTTTAATATTGGCTAGATAAGCCAATGGGGGAAAAAGGGGAAAATTGTTCTGCGAAGTGTCTGTCTGCTTGTAAACACAAAAA